CAGGGACTGACCTACTGCCAGTGGCGCCGCTTTACTACGTTGCGCGAGCAGTAGGTCGAAAAACTGTGCTGAAAGAAAAAGGCACCACCAGCCACTGTCCTCCTCAGAGGAGAAAACCCATGCGGCTCAGAACGGCGCTGTCTCGGACTGCGAGCATGCTTGGGTCTCGAATCGTGCATGCAGCCACGACGACGCGGTCGCCGCTCCACGGAAGGTGGAGTGCAGCGCATGAGGGTCAAATGTTTGGGGGTACACCGTCCTGCAAGAGAGGCAGCACTTGGCCCCTGTGGCCAGCTATCTCGCTGAACCCATAGCTCTCCGCCTTCAAATGTGGTGAGAGGAAAGACCAAGTTGGAGCTGCCTTGTAGATTGTGCTGGTCAGGATGAAGGCAACCGCCAACACGACCAACTCGTGTCTGAGGGTATTATTCTGAAGCCCTCGCATGGGGCCATGTACATACGCCCCCGCCCCCAAAGACCAGAGGCGGCAGGGCCACGCCATACATGGTGGATCGGTCGAAGCTTTGTGGGGAGAGTCTGGATGACGGAGCACAGGTCTGAGGCCAAGACATGTCCTAGAGTCATAGCTTTCTTGAGGTCCGCCTCCGGCCTGGTCGCAGGCTGAAAGCAGCCGAGATCAATGTCACAGGGCAGGTCCAGGTTGTAGCCTGGGCCGTCAGAAGCCGCATCTCCCTGCACAGTGCTGGGAACACCTAAGGTTGAGGAGAGGCTGCCCGGCTCGCTTTCCGAGTCCTCCATCGCCGGTGTGGACCACGAGGGTGAATCCAAGACTGCCGCGCGCGCATGGGCCAGGCCATAAATTGACGGAGCCTCCAGTTCCCAAAGTTCGGCCATCTCTTCCGGGCTAAGCATATTCAGGGGCGGAAATCCAAGGGAGTCCACCAAAATCCAAGAGCCCCGAGCAAAACTGCGAAGATAACAACTAGAGAGAGGCCTGCAAGCGCTGAGATCAAATGTAGCAACCAAACACTGCACCGAACCAATTTTGCACGCAACGAGGGGTTGTGGTAAAGCTGCAAAAAGTGCCCTCAGGGGTACTTCTGCATCCGTGGCCAGCTGAAAAACGCTTCTACATCTAGCGGCGCAGCTGGCCAGCAGTGCTGGGCCCCCTCGAAGGCAGTGCTCGAGGCCCCTACTGTCTCAGCAGTGCAAGGAGTCTGGCAGTGCCTCACCCGGTCTCATGTGTTGGCCTCGCGGATGGTGTCCAGCAAAGATTCGAGCATAGCCTGCGAGGTGGCAATGGGAGTTGCGGCGCATCAGCTCGGAGGCTACGGAAGTCCCCGCAGCGTCCTGGCACCGTGGATGCTGATGCCGTGGATGGAGGGTCCTTCCAGACTCCCTGCAGCGACTCCTGCGGGGGATGCGGCGGTGGCTGAGGGGTGACTGCCGACTCCATTTTCAGGTAGCCGTCGTCATTGCCGTAGGTTCTGAAAGGGTGCACCTCCTGAAAGATATGCCGGTAGGTGCCTTTGGTTCTGAGCCTGCCAATCAGGAAGAAGCGCGCCGAAATGGCTGAGCGCTCCAGGTGCCCACATCATCTTCCCCATCAGGTTCTGGAGCAAACTCGCCGTCCCTGTTCAGACTCTTTGGAGCAGACGGTAACTCAATCTCCTTGCGAATGTGCCTTGGGGCTCGTGAGGTCTCCAAACTGACGGCGCTTCGAGGGAAGCTTTTGAAGAGACTTGGCGAAGCGGTAGAAGTCGCCAGCCGGAGTGCGCATCGGTGGACGAAGTTGCTCATGCGGAGGGGTAAACAGGGCTCCACCTTTGCCGGGGACACCGAATCCTAGCTCAAGCAGATACACAGACTCTGCTGTGCAAGACGCGAGGTCGATGAGGACAAAGCCTGGAGGCCAGGGTCTAAGCATGATGTTGTCCAGGTGCACGTCGGCGTGGACGATGTTATTCGAGTGAAGCACCCGCAGGGCGGCACTCACATCTCCAAATAGCTTTGGCAGATGGTCCTGTGTGAGGAGCTCGAAGGGAAGGCGGCGAAAGCGAGGCATGAGGCATCTGTCCCAGGTCGCGGCATAGATCTGCGGGAAAAAGTGAAAGCGAGGAAGTCGGCATAGTCTGGCGGCTTCCTTGGCCAGGGAGGGCCCATGGCCCTCTGCAGCATGAAGAACATCATCCAGAGCCTTGACCAGCGATCGCTCGTCCTCTTCCGTAGTCGGGGCTCCGCGTATGGTCAGGTTGGGGCCGTGGATGTCGGCGAGCATGGCAGTGCCAGTGCGATGGGCAGGGCTCGAGGTACTGTTGAGCAGCACGCGTGGGTCGGATGGAGCTCCCTCGTTCTTGGACTAGCCTACCCCCTAAGACTTTCTACGCTTCTTCGGCTCAGGCGGGGTAGGAGGCAGAGCCCTGCCAGACGGCAGGCATTCTCTTTTCTTCGGCTGCAGAAGAACCTGTGCGGGCTTCCAATCCTGGCGCAGGCGGTTCCTGAGTGCCGGCCACCTCCTTGTCCTGCTGCGCAGACTTGCCAAAAACGAGCGCGCAGTAGTAGTGCACCGACTCCCGCGTCAGGCCCGACATGATGCAAGAAACTCTCGGTGGTTCGAGCCGAGTAGGCTTCGGTGCTGCCACGTGCGACACAACCACTGAATGACAAGGCCGCTTGCAGAGGCTGAGGTGGCAAAGAGATCGGATGTATCATGCGCCCACACTGCTAGACGCAGCTCTCTAGAGCCGGATAGGCCGACTTATCTGCCGACACGGCTACACATGAGTGACAGCCTATTGGCAGTGCAGCAGCGCTGGCACGCATTTGGCAGTGCCGCTAGCGCTGTGAAAAGTCGATGAAAAAAGCCCGCGGCCTCAGGTCTTGCGCTCAGCAGTGCTGGGGCTGTCAGGCAGTGCCGCTGCCGTCAGAGGGGCGACCTCGAGCACGACGAGTGAGTCCTCCAGGCGGCTTTCTGCCCAGCCTCTCTCCCTCGTAGCTCTCCAGAAGCTTGATGATGGCGTCCGCGTGCTTAGCAATGGAGCCAAACAGTACCGGGCGAAGGTCCAATATAACGTGGGTCTTCTTCGCGTTTGCCTGTGCCGAGCAGTGCGAGATCTCGCCCAGCCAGGCTGATGGGGTCTTCTGGCTAGCCAGCTCCGCCGCCGTCTCCGAGAAGCTCTGAAAGCTATCCTGAGGTAGCCCCGTGGGGACTGCTGATTTGGCGAGCTCATGGAGCTGTGCATACCGCCTGGTTGCACGAGCCATGCGGGTGGGCTTGCCCAGGATGATGATCTCGCTGCCAGCCCTGTACCGCCGCTAGAAGGGCGCGAGCTATGCTGCCCTCCGACGGCAGCTTGAACACGATAGTCGTCTGGGCCTGGATAATGTCTGGATCTGTGTCTTTTCGTATCCGGGCTTCTGGCAGACATGGCTAACGAGGAAGTCTGCACGCGCCTGTTGCGCGTTTGGCCTTGACGTGGGGCGGGCCCAGCCTACGTGTAGTGGCTTGGGCCTTCCCACGCACGGGCACCCTACAAAGGCAATAAAGGTTCGATCGTAGCAGGCCAGCACTTCCCCTATCACTCGCAGCGAGACAAAAAGACGAGATAGCTGCCTTGTGTATGCGATTCAGATCTGAGGGCCCAGCGAGAACGGGAGGGACAAAGTCGTCACTAACCATCATCCCTGACACAGGTTGTGGCCAAAAAGCGCGGTAGTGACCTGAACTGACGCTGTCTCCTATGTGAAACACTCCCGATACCAAGTCAGGCTTTTGTTCTGGCCCTCTAGCCAAACCGGAACCAAAAAGGTGTCACGAAGGCCAGTTATAGATGTCTGGTTCTTGACCCCTTCCTGCCATCTGCACAGGACTACAGGCAGCAACTGGGGCGCCTGGAGAAGCGCATACTGAAAACCACAATTCGACCAACTGTCTATGCAGGCCTGCAGGGTCGGGCCATCCTGAACTGGGAGAAGCAGGGGGGTCAGACCAACCTCCGAGCCCTCGACCTGGCTCTCTACTCGCGCCTGCCACGGAACAGGTTGCAGAGGCCCGGCGTCCGGGGCTATGGCTGCAAAGAACTCAGCCGCGTCATGCTGACGGCCGTCGAAGCGCCATCCTCTCGCCAGAGATCGGACAGCAAATGAGGAGTATAGGCTGAGGGGTCTGGGGCTAGCTGAAACACGCATCTCCTCTAGGACCAACTCTATACCATTAATCGGAAAATCTTGACAGCTCTGACCGAGGGCCGTTAAGGTCGAGTTTATGTAGCAAGAGTTGGCCTTATTTAGAAGTATGCGAAAGTTCGAGGTCGGTTGTGCCGGGGTTGGTCGGCCCGTCGGGCCATTGAAGGCCTGCTGAATCAGGACTTGCTTTGGCTCTACGCTAGCTGGGCCGCTGCGGCTGNNNNCCCTTGTTGTACACTTGTAATTCACAGAAAGGGCACTTAAGTCCCTTAGGAGTGTGAGCAGCGAAGCTGCCGCAGGTTTTGGCGACCTGCTCCTGATGAGTGTCCCACAGCTGTGTGTGTACTTTTCTGACATGGGACTTCAGCTTGGTGTAGTCTGGTGTCCAAAAGCCACGCTGCAAGCACTGAGACCCAAGCACCTTAGCGTCCTGGCTCTTGGCTATCTTCGGGAGTTGATGGCGGGGAGCAGCAGCTACAGCACTCTTAAGACTTTCCAAAGGGGCGGACAGAGACTGCGGTTCCTGGGCAGCGTCCAGGTCTCGCAACTTCTGAGGATTAGGGCAAGCGCCTGACAAGAGACGAGAAAGCAATCCCGGCCACTGCCTGAACTGCGTGCCACAGGCACGACAGGTTGGGAGGCCGTCAACTGAGTGCTCCCGGTCAAACCTCTCTGGAACGTACCTGTCCACGGCTTCGGGGTGTTGCTTGGCCCGATGGAGCCGCAGCCCCTGCTCCGAAACAAAGGATCTGTCGCAGTCCTGGCAAGAANNAGACTGCTGAATGGCTTCGCTGGTGTTTGTTATGCTGGGCGAGAGGGCCTGCTGCGTGTTGAGGGAGGAGAGGCGGTTTGATTGGAGCCTCTCGAGCTTGACTACAGGATCCTCTATAGAGTACAGCTCATAAAGCTCAGCAGTAGTCATGTGGGTCACGTGGGCCGGTTTGTTCAAAACTGATCGGATTTTGAATGCGTACCAGGCCTTAAGGGATTTTGAGGACTCCAGCGAGAGGCCCACCTCAGCCAGCCCAAAAGCTAGCGTGGGCCACACTACAGACTGCCAAACCCGAAGTCGGGACATCGTGCTCGCCACCCTCCTATTGTACACAAATTTCCTCACTTGACGCAGTTTTTGCTTGGCTTCGCTTATGCGAAAGGTGAGCGTCTGCATTTCGAAGGGCCCGTAGCTGGCCTTGATGCCTAGAAACTTGATGGTCGGGACCCATCTAAAAGCTGGAAAGTATTTGGTCTTGCCTATACGCCAGAGTTTGATGCGCTCCCCTGCTTCGTTCCTCGTCCAAGCTGTGTACTGTTTCATGACTGCTGCCGCCTGCCTCCCCGCGAACTTGGCTAGGATGTAGCATTTACTCTGATTACAAACCAGTTTATGCTCTTTGAGGCTCTCCAGAACGGCTCGTATTAGCGCGTGACAGGCCTCTACGTCCGCTACGGAGCGTATGGTTCTGTGCACGGTGAGATCATCTGCGTAGCCCGTCAGGCAAGCACAGATTCTATCCTCCCCAAAGACATCAATGAGCTCCTTAATTAACTCACCAGTTAGGAGGCTGAATAGGCTCGCGGCTAGCTTGCAGCCCTGCTTGACGCCCGTAGTAGTCTCAACCTCAGTAACCTCTCCCTGAGCCGCAAGCTTGTACGCGGAGCGGTGGTGTAGGGCATGCACTAGCGATACCAGGGCAGGGTAGTCAGTTAACTCAGGGAGTGTTGCTATGATCTCCTGTCTCGAGACCGTGTCAAAGGCCTGAGAGAGATCAAGAGCAAACGTGAGGCCCCCTACGAGGTCAGGACGCAGTGCGCCTTCCCGGAGCTCCTGTCTACCCGGGGAGGCAGTGCCACAAAGCTGTCTCACCTCCCGAAAGTGGCGTACCAGTCTCGCGTGCGCATCCGACAAACCCCTTCCAGGAAGATACGCGAACTGCGGAACCTCCCGCATGTAGTTTTGAAGCCCCGGAGAAAGCAGCTCCCGCGCCGCCCCGCAACACCCTTAGCATCCGGCCTTAGTATGCCGAGAGGCCTCAGATTAGACGGCTTGTCTGCTGGCTTGCCTGGTTTGGGGATTAGACAGAGGTCTGCATCGAGCAGCCCGGAAGGGAGCCGCTCGTCGCCTACTGTGGTCAAGAAGTCGCTTAGAGAGGGGCTAATTTCGTCAGCGCAAAGCTTCCAAGCTGCTGCCGGCGCTGAGCCCTTCGGAACCGCCTTATGCGGCTTTTGATGGACCGGATGTGCTTAGCAAGGAGCTGCGGATCTAGGTGCGGGAGCGAGCCTGTTCTCTCCGCGAGCGGGTCATGCACCCCGAATGTGGAGACCGCAAATTCTCCTAGCACTTCCAACTCCTCCACTGGACCCATCAGCTTACCATCCCGTCTTCAGCTGAGCTCGTTGCTGGGGCTGCCACGGCCTGAGCTGCTTTAGCGTGGAGTAGGCAACATACGAAGACCCTTCCGCTATAGCCTCACCGACTCCCTCCAAGAATTTGGCAGCCCTCTCCTTCTGCCGCTGTCGCACCTGTTGCCTGTGCTGTTCCTGAGAGGCTTCTAACTCCGCAAGCCTAGCTGGGTCAGGGCTTGGGGAGGACTTAACTTCTCGAGCAAGTTGCCACATGCGCCTGGAGTCCAAGGGACGTTGGCTGCTGCGGGCCCTCCGCGGGAAAAAGAGCTCAGCTGCTTCAGTGAGAATTTGGTTGCACTGGTCTGGATGTTGAACCGGCATGCGGTCACGAACCCAGTCCCGCATCTGTTTAGCCCGGCCCGAGCCTTCACGAACCTCAGCTTGTAGCTGTTTGACGTCGCATGTCGATGCGTCCTTTCTCGAAGGAAGCTGCCAGTGTCCTAGGGGCTTGATTTCGGCAAAGACAGGGGAGTGGCCGCCGACTTTCCAGCTGCCTAAGTGCCGGCGCAGATCTTTTGGCTTGTCCTCCCGCATGAGGCCCCTTAGTGAAAATGAAGTCAATCTGGGAGTGGGAGCCTGCTGCGTGTACGTGTGTGGTACGGCTGCGTGCCATGTGTTCAGGGCCACCAACTTGTGCGTTTCTACCAGCTCTTGCAGGCCCTCACTGTCCGGTCTTGGGGCCGCGCCGCA